AATTTTTAAGAAGGGGGAAAAATTCAATCAACAGTGATAAAAAAAAAAAAAAAGGAAAAAAAGACTTTTCCTAAAACATATCTGCTTTCCTCCAAAAAAGAATGGAATCGTTTATTCATAGAAGATCTCTACACCATGTTCTTTTAATTGAATAATCAATCTCAGAATTGGCTGGGCAGTTTTGAGAAAAAACGCTTGAAGAAAATGACCAAACTCTCAAAAAACCGACTTTTCCTAAGTTATCAGTTGATCTACGAAAAATAAGGCGTAGATATTTCTACAGGGAAGATTCTAACATGTTGTTGTTTCGATTGAACAGATAGTCGCTGAGCATATTATATAGGAAAAATTCCCGTGACCAGCCAAACGGTAATAACTTCAGAAGCAATTACAATTTCCTAGTGACGTACAAATTTCAGAATAGACATAAAAATTTCCTAGTGAATTTCCTCGCAGCTTTTTTCAAAATTATTCGCAGCCTTTTTTTCGACTGAGCCCTCACTCTGGAGATTAGGCTGGATGGTTTTCTAGAAAACTCAAATTTTGAAAACGACCAAAAAAACACATACAAAATTTCCGACGACAATAGCTATTTTCTACGTCAAAAAAGGTTTATCAGCTTATGCAGCAAAGGATACTGGAATCTGTTAATTCAATTTTAAAAAAATTCAACAGACAGTTGGAAAAAAGAGAGTGAACACAAGTAAACAAAAAAAATAAGGACTTATTTTTTTGAAAAATTTACTTCAAATTTCATCACACAGGCGAAACTGAGCTTCGCACCACTTGCCATACACAATAAAGCTCCGAAAATAGAAAGAAGTGTCTTAAACGAAAATTGAAAAAAAACATAAATGAATTTTGTTGAAAAAATCGTAGGCTCAAAAATCAGAAAGAAATTATTGCAATTGTTAGAGAAGTCAATTAACTTCAAAATAAAAGACGGATTTGGGCTTAACTCTATCCATTTCTTTCTGATAATTAATAGATGAAAACGATAAGAAAACATTTCGGTAACAAAATTGAGATACGATAACTCCTAAATGTACTCAAAAAGTGTTCATTAAATCTTGCAACCAAACAATTTGCATATCCATTAAGAACAATAGGGGATAAAGGCCCTCACCGCTATAGTACAAGGTCAAATTGAACAAAAAACGAAAACAAAATTTCAAACACATCAATGCAAAAAATACAAACAATTGATACAAAAAAAGTTGCGGAAATCTACAAAAAAAACTCTGAAAATCTATGACAATAAAGCAATGACAAAAAAAAATCTATGATAAAAAAGTCTAGTACCCGATTGTAATACCATTGCTTATCGCAAAGGTAAAGAACAAATAGATCTCTAAAGCTCTTTGAACTTCTAGAAAAATTTATGACTGGATTTTTTTGGATAAATTTAACCCAATTTGAGAAAACTGGATCACTAAGTAAAAAATTTATTCACTGGGAAACCTGGTAAGTAAATTCCACTTTCGAAACTGAAAGGTCATTTTTCGTGACCTTTACACTTCGGCTGTTCCATAAAGAAAACTTCCTTATTTATAAAAAAAAAGAAAACGAGCAGACCTTAAAAAGACATCAAAGGTCAAACCACGAAAAAATAAATTTGAGCCTAGACAAATTTCAAAACTTTTCCTGAAAAGAAAAAAACATCCCGACCTTTATAAGAGTTTTAATTATGTTCATCGACTCTTAATTATTCTGAAAACTGTCAGGGTGGTTTTTAAGAATAGTTACAAGTTTCTAAAAATGGTCAAAATTTCTTTTTTTCCGAAAAGCCATATTTTTTGTTACTAAAATTATTTTTGCTGCGACAATAACTTTTTGCATCAACCATAATTTTCATTAAAAAAGTCAAAAAGTCAAAAAAATTGCCGCATTTGAGGCTATAATTTTTTACAATGAAAAGAGGCAAAAACAAGGAAGATCCCCACAGCCATTTACTTGATAAGATTGTAAATTTGATAAAAGTCGGAGTTTCAGAACTGTCAAAAATTCGTCTTTTTTGAGGCCAAAACTTTTTTCTAGGAAAATAGGGCGAAGCAATTTATAATGAAATTATTTTACTTTTTCTGTGCTTTCCATTGAAAACTTAATCTTAGATTTGGCGGGTTCTTACTGAGGAAAATATCCAAGAAAATGAGTAAAAAATTCCGTCCGTTGGAATTTTCGAAATCAGTTGAACGTGGAGTAGGGTAAAAACAAACTACGAAAAATTCAGGCACACAATGCTGTAGCAGGTTTTTCCATTGTTACTTATTTCAAAAATCGGCGAAGTATTTGTCGAGAAAAACGAAAATTTAGCAAAAAAAAAAAAATGAAAACAAAAAATGAAGTCCCATACATTTTCATAACAACTGATTTTGTCGAACAGGGGATTTCTTGCACGCGAAACTATTCAATAAAAATTACTGAGCTGAAAATAAAACAAAAAAGAATATGTTCAATCAAATAAGATTCACAATCAAAATTTGTAGACAAATTACAGAACTTTAAATAATCGTAACAAAATTGAAACTCAAATTATACCGGGAAAAAATTCAACCAGTTTTCAAGAAATTCTTATGAAAAAATAATTACTGCCCGATAACGCCTCCACCTTTCAACAACTAAATTGAAGGTAATTTTATTTGAAATTTGCATGTCTTGGATTTCAATATTCCTACAAAATTGAGCTTTCCTACAAATTCTGTGAGCTAAATTATTTACGGGTAAAAGAGACTTAAACCCCATTGCAAAACCCTTGCTCATCGCAAGGGTAACAAAATGAAAGTAAGCATAGAACTTGTCCATTATCAACTGCATCAATTTGAAATATGAGCTAACATACAATTTGTTATAATATACGCCATAAATAATAAGCGCGAATCCAGCATTTTCTTATCAAAAACAAGAGGCGGGACTAACTTGATTGATTGTTGATGGCTCCAGATTGAAAAAAAAAAGCGAACAAAGCACAATCGAATGTTTGTGTAAAAGCATGCTGAACATGTCGACTAACCCCAAACTTGCAAGTTAAGTATAATTTAAAAATAATGATAATAATTACACAAAATGAACATTTTGAAGATTTATATGAAGAAAGATTTCGACATGAACATTTCCACCAAACTGAAACTAATCGGACTAACCAAGTCAAAAAACATTTTTTGTTAAAAAATTTTGTCTGATTTACAGGGTTTCGTTTCATCAGAATATCATCGAATAAGTTGTGCACTAATAGAGAAACGGAACGATTTTCAACCTCCAAATCCAAATTCGATAACCGAGGTGAAAATGATTAATTTTATACTAAGAAAAATGGAACATAGCCAAGTGATGATTGGAAAAGAGTAATGAACGCAATGTAACTTAAAAACACTGACTTTCTTGAAAAAATCTCAACTTTCGAATTTCACAGAAAAAAAATAGATGCCCTTTACGCTCTTTGAATTTCTCGAACAATTTATAATTGGCACTTTTTTGATAACATGAACCCAACTAGAGAAAAATGGATCAATAGGTAAAGTTTTTATTACGCTGGAAATCTAAAAAATAAATTCCACTTTCTAAACTAGAAATCGTTCCCGTTTTTTCGCGCCATTTCCACGTTCGTATTTGGAGAGTGCTACTTACGTTACTTTCGGCAGATGAAATTCATTTGAACTCAAAAAGTGCATACATACCTAAGTGCATTCACAAATGCATAAATATGTATGAATGCACATCTGTTGTTATTAGAGACTTTCAAGACTTTTCCTTTAAAAAAAAAACAAAAAAAATCAGCAAGACTTATGTAAGAGTCTTCACTACGTTCAATAATCATATTTTTTACCTGGCTTTAGCGTTTAACCGAATTGTGAAATTTTTTTACCAGAAATACTCTGAATGATCCAAAATAGTCCAAAATTATAAACACTTTGCGATGACACCTTGAAATGCTTTATAGCCGAGACATTCATTGATTATCGCGATTTGATGCGAGATTTAACTCAAACTTCGACAGGTCGGAAAAACTGGTATTGAAAAGTGGAACCTCTATAAAAGATCCACAAATTTGCTAACAACTAGCGTCTATGAGAACTGGCAATCTAATTGGAATAAAGAAATTGGCTTTCTACTTGGAATAGAGTACTTGGACGAGTGCGATCTTCAATTGGGACTAACTTTTTCCCTAAAACACGAAAAAACTTCAAAGCATAGCTCAAAAAGAATCGTGAGCCAAAACTAGAAATACAGCTGTTCCGCAATTACAGCTATTGAAATGATGAAAATTAAACCCCAAAACCAACCGCCTGAACAATTTGCTCGACAACTCTATTATTGAAATGAACACATTTGATTTGCGGGGAAAAACATTATTTGTATTGATTCTGCTCTTTAATAATTTTGATTGCGGCAACTATTGAGTTTTGTGGCACGATTTTCATGTTAGTCGATGCAAATGTCAACATAAAAATTTCATGCTAGTCGATTTGTTTTTCAATTTTTAAAATTTTATATCTGTTGAGCTTTATGATAGTCGACACATTGCCTGACTCGGATTGACTTGATAACTCTACTAGTGATGTATATTATCTCAAAATTGCACTAAATGCGCGTTGAACAAGCGGATATATCGCTTGCTGTTTAAATGAAGCAGAAACGACTTTGCGCCTAAGTTTTGCAGTGAAATATGCTACTGAAACTTTGCCGTTGCCCGAATAATAACACAAGCTCCGCTAATCAGGTTGTGGATAAAATGCAACGATGATAATCAACCAACCAATTCGTTACAAAATATGTCTTTTCGTCTCATTGAAAAAAAATCTGTCAAACTGTAAAATTTGCTTTCAGCTAACAAACAAAACGCCCAAAATCTCCGATTATAAATATTTACAACAAATTTACTTAGTTGTCGGTTGGTATTGCACAAATGGATTGAATACTACATTTCAATTATTCAGTGCAAAAAATTTGAAATGAATAGTCCAGAAAAAGATGCTGGGCATCGGCAATTTTCGAGACTGAAATTCACAAATACGAATTCAATTCAGCATTCAAATTTATAGCAATTTTCCTAAATACTAGGAGACTTTAAAACTGATACGAGCACACTGCACAATGGAGTGATGAAATCTAACTGGCCAATTAACTAAAGCATACAATGGGTACCAAGAAGTTGAAATTATCAAAACAGCAAGCATTATGATGCAATTCAACCAAGATGTGAAACAGTTTACTTGACGAATTCTTAGTTAACTTTCACTAATTCGTTTTTCTTCAAAAAAATTTGCCAAACTTGTTTACCATCAACTCATTAGATTTTGAATATCGCTCAAAATTCTGAATGACCGAAATTTTCGCATAAAAAGTTGCTTACTTTCGTCATAATCCAAGGGATCCAACGACGCCGAAACTTTCCGGGACTCTAACTATAGTGGCGTTTTGAAATTAACCCTTTTTTTACAGCAAATAGCATCATATTAGCTGGAACTACCTCCAGCATGTTTAGTTCAACAAAATATACATCATAAAACAACACTACAACAGATTTGCACTACAAATACACTTTTATAAGTTAATTCTTTACAACGGTGAATTATTTCGAGACATTCCATGGCAGAATCTAGTTTTCCACTTTGCTCAAGTTTTTACGCTGCATTGTTTCATCAAACAGCCTTTGAGTTTGACTATTGTCAAACGACAAAACGCCAAAAATTTCCATAAGCACTATTTTCGATGAAATTTTGTCAATCAAATACGATACTCCGTCAATAGAGAAAATATCAATCATTATTATGAGAGAAAACACCATTTTCATCAATTTTTTTCAGACCTCTTATAAAAGCTAATTTTTGTTATATTTGTAGTAATTTTTTCCACACGGGTTGGCAACAAAACGAGTTCTCGTTGCAAAAAATGATGAGAATCTGCAACATTTCCTAATTTCTTGGATGAAAAACAAACAAGGCGTTGAGTAAATTTTAGCAATTTTCAACGTCATGACGAGAGCAGGGGTCATGAGAGCTCATCTTCGGCGATTGTGTGTAAGGAGACTTTGTCTGCAGTATGGATTCCATTGTTGGAGTCGCTTGCTCTGAGGAACAACTTGCCATTCATCTCACTTTGCTGAATGCCTGTCAGTCTGTTTAATCTGAGTCTGGGTAACACCAGCGTGCAATAGAAGGCAAAGGCTGTTCCAAGAACTGCACCTGTAACCCAACGGATCAATTATCCAATTTAATTTTGAGAAACATAGCCAACAGACAGTTGGAAAAGATTAAATGATCACAGTTAACGGAGAAGATTCAATGATCACAGGGAAATAAAAAACGAAGTTGCTTTTTTCTTAAAGAACTTCAAATATCGTATTTCCAAGTGAAAACTAGATGGGCTTAAGACTCTTTTAAGTTTCAAGAAAAATTTATGATTGACACTTTTTTGATAAAATTAACTCAATTAAACCTGGATCAAAAGGCAGATTAGTTTTTATTCCGCAGGGAAATCTGAAAATTGAAACCCACTTTCGAAATAGGAAGAGATCACGTTTTTTGTGACCTGTACGTTTTTGCTGTACGATAGTGCAAGTACAGCCTGCCTTCCTTTTAACAAACGAAATGAACTGCATCTAAAGAATTGAAAAGTCAAACCGCTTTCAAGACTTTTTCCTGAAAAAAAATCATCACGACCTATATATGAGTAATGGGTATTCATTATGTTCATCGACTCTTAAGAAATATTGCTGACTCCACTTTTTAATGAACGGGGCTTCAAGGCAACACAATCAATTTTTTTAAAACCCTCAAAATTTTACCCTCACTATAAGAAAAACAGGCGCGTGTGTGCGGTCAATTTTTTTTGGGAACAATTAGATTTTTTCAAAATCAAACCTATAAATAAGTAGTCGTAGTGGTGGATCGTTTTTTACAAGAGCTCTTGGCAAGGATTTGTGCTAATACCAAATTGGACAAATTGTAGAGCTCCTAAAATGTTACAAAACCAATGACGGAGTCTCCATACTTCATACAGCTGTTTTTTTCAGTTTTCTCGCTATTGTTTGACAATTGGAAAAAAGTAATAAGCGCAAGGAAACAGAAAAACACATTGACTTACTTTTTGAAAAAACTTCAACTTATGAAATTTAAAGAAAAATCTATGTCAAACCCCGAAAAAAATAAATTTGAGCCCAAAAAAATTATGAGACTTTTCCTGAAAAAAAACCACCAATATCAATATAAGAGTACTCACTATGTTCATTACTACTAAAAATAATATTTTGACAGGTTTTATGATTTGGAAGAGCGCCGAAGTGAAAAAGCCGGATAAAAATGTTCACGAAAGCAAAAACAAACAATTTTCAAAATCAAGTTTTATGACCACCAAACACAGAAGCGAAGCTGCTCTTCACAGCCAATAGCGAGAAAACAAAAAAAAACAGCTGCATCAAGTGATATAAGAAAAAAAGGTTAAAACCTTAAAACTTAAAACTTTTGCTGTGGCGGATTCGCTTCTACGACCAAGAGATGTGGATTCCCGTGTGCTCGCATCTGTGCCACGGGCCTTTGACAATTTACTAACAATAGCCACAAACAAAGCGGCTACATATGCTAAGAAAATGCCAATGGTACAACCACATTGCATATAATAGACACAATATTGCATATAGTAATTTGAAATATGACAAACTGAAAGCATTTACACTAACTTTGCAAGTAATAAATTGGAAAGCTTAAAACCAAATTATGTATAAATTAGGCATTTCAAAAAAAGATATAGCGTTTTTCGATTCAATTGATGAATTAAAAAAGCATCAACTGTGTTAACTTATTACTGATCGAACGTGAAAGAACATGCTGTCAAAAAGCAAGGTGCAACCAAAAATGGTACCAATATTTGCGACTTAGGTTGGATAAAAAAATAATAGTCATACTATTACACTAAGCTGGCTAGTGTAATGACCGAAGGAGAAATCTTTCAATGTGATAGGAAACAATTTTTTCTATAGAAACAGAGAACATGGTTCGAATTTAAAATAAAATAAATCAAGGTTCAAAAACGAGTCACGAGTCACTTGAAATGCGCATCATTTTAAAGAAAAGTGATTTAAAGTAACGTTCCACCAGAAACACAAAAATTCACCTTGACTAGCAACTTTTTTTGCTCCTGATAACTGCTCTTCTACTCGATTGATTCACACTCAGGCTGCTTTTTGTGACCCAAATGCGTTCGTTCTCATTATAACGGCTGCAAATAGGGTAACCATATCTTGCGTCAACCAAATACCGACCTACATTGCGTAGCGCATATCGACTTAATTTCGACCGACCTTAATTAATATAATGAATCAGCGACATTTTATCGCCAAACATTACATTATTTGACAGTGTCTGTCAGTGAGCGACTGGCAGTTTTTTCGTTCTCTTAGCCCATTGCATTTGCATATGGTCGCACTGAAGTTGCATTAACCAAAAAAATCACGCACTCACGCCAGTTTAATCAAATGATAAAAAAACAATCAAAATCATAAACCGAAGAAAACATCGCAAAATTCTAAAAAATTTGACTTTGAATTCTTTATTGTCTTTGAATTCAAATACCCAAAATCAAACAGTCAGTAAACATCCACCTTTTGGTTGCCCTGGCAGCAGCATTGATATTTTGATACTTTGAACTCATTGAAATATTAGAATATTGAAAGATTGGTATTTGACCTTCGGGAAAACAGTTTTAAACACCGTTTACGAGGAAACGAAAATTAAGTCCGGTCTTGTTTAAATTCATTCCTGCAATAAAAACAACAAATAAAAGGCTCTCAGATTGTCGGCAAAATTGGAGAACGCTCCGCTTTCATGTTAGTATTTATCTCAGACATTCAACTTTTTCTCGACCGTTTCAAAAACTTTCCCCGTTTGCGCCCCCTTCCTTCTTAGTTTTTGGTTGCGCTAGTATTCAGTCGTATTATTCAGCGTATTTATTGAATTATGCCTTTTAAAAGTTTAAATGAGTAATAAACGTGTTTGATGTCTTGTATCCCAACTAAGAACCTGAATGACTCACCTGTTATGACATCTGTTGGATGGTGTTTATGGTCACAGACTCTGGACACAGCTACTAACAGGGCAAACAGGAGAGAGGACGTCTGAGCCAGAGGTAGAAGGAAACACCTGGCCAGCCACGAGTGGGACAGAGTCTGTAGTCAGAACATCAAATTATTGTTTTTTTTCGACAACTTACAGACAAAGGAGGACTAGCACGTGACTCGCGATAAAACAAGACTAGCGCGTGACTCGCACCTACGGTTTTTCTAACTTATAGAGGAAATTGTTTGCTAAATTATAACAATACTTCTCGTTTCAATGCGAAGCCCTGATTGTTCCAACAGACCTTTAGCGTCGATGAAATGGTTTTCGGTTTTATAAAATGCTGCAAATTGTGGAAAATGAGAAGAGAGTGCTCGCTTGGCTTGCAAGGAGAGAGTGCTCGCTTGGCTCGCTTTTACACCAAATTTGATTTTTTTCTGGCTGCTTGCTCTAAATGTCAAGCAATGATTTTCCTCTTCATTAACTCCTTCAATTTAAGGACATGTACTTTGGCCGCTCAACCCTAACATTGAACTTAAGATGTCAATAACAGTGATGCATTTTGCGCCAATATATACTAATTTCAATGAATAAGCGAGCTAAAAAAAAACGATATTCTGATCAAAACATGCAAAAATTGCCTAAAACGTTATTTTGGCTGAGCTCACATTTCGGCTCGATCGTGCAAAAATTTGTTAGCAACGAAGCAGTTTTTGAATAAATTGGATCTTCTTGACATTTACAGGAGAGCTAAAAAATGCAAATGATCGCCCTAGAAACGTTCACAAAAGTTTTCAATCAAAATCCGTAGTCGATGCCTGAGCGTGATGCAACAATTCTCAACCCAGAAAAATTGCCAAAAAAGCTGCAGGTAGTTCAAAATTTTTGGAAAAAAATTCGAAAACTCGGTTTTTCAAAAGTCTCCTACTTTTGACTTGAATGAAGTTCGTTTTGAAAAAAGTCGCGGAAGACATCTGCTACTGTAAATAATCATTGAAACAAAATGTACGGAACGGCAACAACGCCGACAAAACTTGGGTAGACGTATGTTTTCGCAATTAGAAAATGACAGTTCACTTATGCCCCAAAGTAAGCACACACGCATAAAATATTAAATTAGTCCTTCAACTAGCTTGATAAGCGAAAGCTACGCCGATATAAAATCATACCAAACGTTTGAAAACAAAAACAAAACATTTTAAGCGAAAAAAAAAAACAAAAAAAGAATAATAATCAAAAACTTCGAAGAGAAATTTCCAAAATGCATACAGGCTCAAAACATGTCTGTGAAGCCAAATTTAAGACTGATTCTTAAACATTTGTTTAATGGAAAAACGTCAAGCTGCCGATTACTAGACACTTGCAAGTGTAAATATAACAGAGTAGCAAAAAAGGGAAGCAACATACCTGCTGGATGAAGATAGCAGTGTAGACAAACACGTAGAAAGCACAGCTGGAGTGGCCAGAGGGAAAAGAACGCCTGGAGTCAGCCACGAAAGATGCATCTTCCTCCTCGCAAAGAGGATCTAAAACGACAACCTCTTTAAAATTCTATTTCCAATCTGTATGATAAAACATAGCCAGCTGACAGTTGGAATTAAGTCAATGAATCCAAAACAGAAAAAAATACTTTTGATTTACCATTAAAAAAATAGATGGCCTTAAAGCTCTTTGAATTTCTAAAACAATTTATGATTGATAATTTTTTCATAAGAACTTAACCCAATTTGAGAAAACTGGATCAATAGGGAAACTTTTAGTTCACTGTGAAATCTGATAATTAAATTCCACTTTCGAAACCAGAAGTCTACTAACGACGGAAATGAACTTAACTGATTTTTTAACACAGAGTCGAAGCGGAGCTTCGCACCACTTGCAATACAACACAATCATAAAAAAAGCGTAAGTCGAAAAAAAGATAAATGTTGAAAAAAACTAGGTGCACCAAAAACTTTGTATGTCTCGATAAAGGACAACTAGGGTCCAGCTAAAACTAGATTTACAATTTTGATATTTTGGTGAATTTGTTAAACTCGGGAGGACTTAAGGGGAGGCGGACGCCACCTTCTTCATGGATTCGACCCCCTCCCGATCAAAGGGTCGATCCCCCCTTGGTGCTTGTTAAGAAATCCATTTTTGGCCGACCGACCCTATTTTTGGGCGACCTCCATTTTTGGGTGCCAAAATATACTAACTTTCAGGGGGAGCGCGCGCCAAAAAACGCGATGATTTTTTCGTCATAAGTTTCCAAGTGCACAAAAACGGCTTTTTTTACCTGTTTTTTCAAAATATTGTCCGCGGCGCAGAAAATGTGGCCAAAACAGCGTCTTTTTAAGGCTTTAGGAGAGAGCTCGGAAAATCAATTTTGTCGGCCTTAAAAAATGTCGTAGATAAGCCAAAAACCTTAGTTGATTCTCTATTAAAGAAGGGAGTGAAAAATTTGAGATTCATCAGAGAAACCATTCTTGACAAAAAAAAATAAGGAGTAACCGCTTCTGCAGAAAAATTCGAGCAACCGCTTCTTTCGATTGAAATTTTTATCTCAGATTTGATAGGATACTCAAAACATTTCTAAAAAATGGTCTAAGTTCAATACCTTGACTTTCCAAAATCCGGAACTTTTTTCTATTAAAAGCAGTTCGGGGCCGGTTAAGTAAAGAAGATTCTCAATTTCCCCTTGTTTGAGGGCCATAAATTAATTTCTACAAAAAAATCTGCGTATCAAGTTATAAAGGTACGCTTCCAACAACGTCAATAAACTTGAAAGTTGACTTTTCCGAGAATCAAAGCTTTTGTTTAAACAAATTTGGGCGCAGCTGCTTATGCAAAAGAAGTTCACCTAACCTGAAATTTTGATTGCACCCAAAAACCAAGCTTTGGTAGTGTTATTCACAAAAAAGGTCAAAAAGCTTCGAAAAAACTGTCAAAAAAATCAAAACTTTGACTTTTCCGAGTGCCATAATTTTTTGTGTCAAAAAACTTTGGTGTAGTGGCTTAGGCAGAGCAGCCTTCTAAAATCTGTTTTTTGATTTGAATCGAAAATTTCAGACATAGGATTTCTTTTGCGGTTAAAACCATATAATTTAGCAAAAAAAAAACGCTCAAAAAATCAAAAAATTGACTTTTCCGAGACGATCACTTTGTGTGAAGAAAAACTGTGAGTGACCAATAATGCAGGGGAGCTTAACAAAACCCTTTATTTTCATTGAACCCACAACCTGAGGTACGGTCAAAGAGATTTCAAAAACATGGTAGGTTAGTTTTCAGAAAATGGAAAAAATAATCAAAAACGGTCAAAATAATCAAAAATTGACTATTCCGAGGGTCAACATTATCAGTGGAAAAACGGAGGGGAGCTTTTCAAATCCATTTTTTCATTAAAACCAAAATGTCAGATCTGGTAGGTTACTTTTTGAGAAAACGAAAAACAAATCAAAAACATAGGTCAATTATTCACCCCATAGACTTCATCGAATGCTGTAAGCATAAGGGTAAGGCAAAGAGAGACCAGGAGAGTATGCAGTCACAGAAAAATGTAGGCGGTCTTTCTATGGAAACCCCTTCTTTGAAAATCGGTAGATGGTTTTTTGAGAAAAAGTTTTTGAACAAAGTGATAAAATGTTCCAAAGCGTCTCAAAAAAATCAAATAAAAAACCCATTCCCCATTCCCATTCATTTTTTTAGTACTGCTTTTACCAAACAGCAAAAAAAACTTACGAAGCGGAGAAAAGGCCGACAATTTTTGAGCAGACACTAGTTGAGCGGGAAAAAAAACTAATTTTAATTTAAAAGCTCCAAGTTCCCCCTGAAACTACCCTGCCAGTACTCACCTAGTAGCTAAATTTGAAGTTTCGAGAAAATGAGCATGTCATGCAGCTGACATCCTCATGTCATAAAAATTCAAATTTGATTCAACTGATTTTAATAAACTACTTGTTAACCCGAACAAAAAGTCTACATTCCGATTTGATAATGCTTGCTAATCGCAAGCGTAACCATGGAAATTGCGACCCATGTTTTTGAATTGAAAATGAACACAAAAAATATACGTCAAACCTCAAAAAATAAGTCATAAATTTAAAACATAGAGGCGAATCAGAGTGTCCCACTACTTGCGCTACATCACAAACATAGCACGGCAATCTAGCAGACAAAATCCACCAAACAAAAAAAATTAAAAAGAAACAATCGAAAACTATCTCTATCAAATTATTTGATGTCTCGAGTTAAAAAAATGAAATAAATTAGCATTCAAGAAAAATGCATCTAGCGGTTGATGCCCGTTGGGCAGAAAAAGAAAATGCCCAACGGCAATCAATCATCATTTGAATTTGTTGGAGAGCATCTGTAGGAAGTGTTTGTCAAAACATATATATACGTCAAACCTCAAAAAATAAGTCATAAATTTAAAACATAGAGGCGAATCAGAGTGTCCCACTACTTGCGCTACATCACAAACATAGCACGGCAATCTAGCAGACAAAATCCACCAAACAAAAAAAATTAAAAAGAAACAATCGAAAACTATCTCTATCAAATTATTTGATGTCTCGAGTTAAAAAAATGAAATAAATTAGCATTCAAGAAAAATGCATCTAGCGGTTGATGCCCGTTGGGCAGAAAAAGAAAATGCTTTGAAAATGCTTCAGAACTAAAAGCTTTGAAATTTTTGCATCGCCCCACCACGAAGCACAAACCCGCTTAAAAATCTGTTATTACCCTACAAATCAGGCAATACGAAATTTTTTTTGATCCAATTTGAATATGCAATTGCACTACACTAGTTGTAAGAGAATTAAAATCTGATATTTCGAAGCTGAAATTCTTACGCCCATTTCAGCATGTGAAAATGTTTTCAAACAAAACGCTATCAATTTTTTGCAATGACAATCAATCATCATTTGAATTTGTTGGAGAGCATCTGTAGGAAGTGTTTGTCAAAACATATATATACGTCAAACCTCAAAAAATAAGTCATAAATTTAAAACATAGAGGCGAATCAGAGTGTCCCACTACTTGCGCTACATCACAAACATAGCACGGCAATCTAGCAGACAAAATCCACCAAACAAAAAAAATTAAAAAGAAACAATCGAAAACTATCTCTATCAAATTATTTGATGTCTCGAGTTAAAAAAATGAAATAAATTAGCATTCAAGAAAAATGCATCTAGCGGTTGATGCCCGTTGGGCAGAAAAAGAAAATGCTTTGAAAATGCTTCAGAACTAAAAGCTTTGAAATTTTTGCATCGCCCCACCACGAAGCACAAACCCGCTTAAAAATCTGTTATTACCCTACAAATCAGGCAATACGAAATTTTTTTTGATCCAATTTGAATATGCAATTGCACTACACTAGTTGTAAGAGAATTAAAATCTGATATTTCGAAGCTGAAATTCTTACGCCCATTTCAGCATGTGAAAATGTTTTCAAACAAAACGCTATCAATTTTTTGCAATGACAATCAATCATCATTTGAATTTGTTGGAGAGCATCTGTAGGAAGTGTTTGTCGCAACAAACAGTTTTATGTGCGGTCTTAAAGAACAGCATGCAAGGAATTTTCAATTAATCTTGCGAATAAACAGAATTACAAAAAATTATTGTAATGGAAAAAAAATCGTATTTTGAAGGATTTTGCAAGCTTGAGCCAGCAGCGGCTTTAGGGATTCACACCTCTCGGACCCTGACTACCCAAAGGTTCCCATTTTAGCTATAGTTTAGAACAAATATTTTTTTCTGACCAACCCTATAAAATTCTATGAGGCCTTATGCATATTTCGAGGGTAGCGCGCGGCAAAAAAACGCAATTTTTTGTTTAAAATCTGTCGAAAAGTGCCCTAAAAGTATCGTCATAGGCTGTTTTTTTTGCGGTGAGAAAATGCGGTCAAAACAGGGTCTACATAGTGCCATGAGAGCTCAGAAAAATGATTTGGTCGACCTACAAAAAGACGATAAAATTCTTTATCTTATATTATATTTTTGAGTTTAAACCGAATTCCTCGTTTCTATGGCCTTCATTTCTAATATTGTTTTATTCAAATGGAGAGTGGTCCAAAACCGGAATAAAAATACATAAACTTTTATTGGCTGAATATAACAAAAGATAACAATTTTTTGTCAGTGCTGAATAGTTCAGTTAAGATAAGTAAAAAACAAGGTGGTTATTCAGGTGGTTAAGGAATCTTCCTAGAAATTAAATTTTAGGACTTACGAATTATGACATGAAAAAAGCTACAAAATTCAAAGCTCTGAACAAATAAGCAAATGTAAACTTCCATCTGATTTATATACTGCTCTCAATTTCTGCTCCATTATTTTTTTTGATACTTTACTAAGCGTTCATTATTGGTTGATTGCTTAGTAATCTATCCTTAGTTAAAAGTCTCACCTAAGATCGTCAAGTTTCTTGACAAAAGTTATAGTAGAAACAAAAGTTAGAAAAAGGTATGAATTAATGAGCTGGGTGAATATAAAGCACAGGGTTATTAGATAATAAAAATGAATCGAACAGCTTAAAGAAAAAAAAACCTTTGAGGATGGGGTGTTAACTCTTATTTTTACATTTATATTTTATCTGCTTACTAAGGTTGACGATTGGGTAGGAGTCTCGAGTCAATCTTGGTTGGGTCCACTTCTTTTTGTTCGCCTAAAGGAGTCTTGTCCGGTTCTTTTCGTGCTCTGGGTTTTCTCGTTCGTGCTTATCTCGATTTATTGTTTTATCGAAGTTAGAGAAAAACTAAATTTCTGGTTCATTGGAAAAAAAAACTTGATTTTTAAAATTTTGTAAAACTGAAAAAGAAAAATTATTTATTTGAAAACTGAAGTTATTAGAGTAGAAGACTTGCTCCTGACTGAGCAAAATGAAACACGGAAGATTTCAGGCCAGTCCTTTTGCTCGTAAGCAAAAACCGGCGGCTGATTCATCTTTCAAGTACTCAGGTTTAACCTGCTTCTTTACTCTCCCTTCATCATGAGGAAATTTTCAACTAGATTTTATTAGAATTTTCCAAATCAAATATCCTTGAATTATTAGTCCCCTTTGATTAAAACCGCAGCCTTCAGTTCGATCTTATTAAAAATTCATAGTACTTTCTCTGATGCATCATATTGCAGGTGCATCTCTGCTCAATCAAAGCAAGGAGAATTCCTGGGCAGCCGGCAAGACTGCTAAATAATAATCCAACTTGTTTCAATTTATAGTTACAAGGGACGTGTTAGTAATCGCTGCCCTTTTAAAATACTGTGCATGAAAAAATAGAAAAATTGGACAAGTATTTAAAAAGTAGTGGATTTTCAAAACAAGATTTTATAGTCCTAATAAGATTAAATCAGTCAATATCTGATTTAGTTAAAAGAGGCTTTAATTTAAATGGCACGCTCCAATTTAGAATTGGGTCTTTAATGAACAATTTCGACAATACGCTTTGTCCGTGTAGTAATTACAGTACTACAACTCACCCCTTTTTTAAAGAAAAATAAGCTGCTCGATTCCATGGTGAAAATTGAACTTTAATGATTGAATATTTTAGTTCAGAACATTAAAAAGAACATCAAACAAAATAAGTATGAAGATAAGTTTAAGTTAAAAGATGCAGTTTAAATATGGTTTTTTAGAAAAAAAATTATAGACCTTCTTTCCATTTTCTAACTCCGTGTTGTATGCCCTGAGGATTGCTGTCTTCCTCTGCGATGCCTCTAGTTTTTGCAGCAGTTTCGCGATCTTCAGTTATTTTGTTCTTAAGTGTCATCCTGCTCAGTCCATCTGTTAGTTCTTCGATTTTTATCTGGTTTGAGTATATTTCATTTCTCTCATTTTGAGTTGTCTTCATTGGGAAAGCAGTTATTCCCTCAAATGTAATCGTAATTTGAGCTCCCCCTGCTTTTAATACGCAGCCGTTTTCTAGACTTTGCTTTATCTTCCAGAAGTTACTTTCTTCTTTTATCATAATTTCAGTAATCAATTCGATTGGCACCATTGCCTTTTCCATTGACGTCGAGTTGACAACTTCGACAACTGATGGCAGTTTCAACCGGTTGTAATAGTTTTTTTATGGAGTATTTTAGGCTGGTGGTAAATTGAGGATTTACCAAATCCAATTTGAGCTCTCTTTTTCTCTTTGGAGCTCCAATCTTTGTTGTAGGTTTGAAAAACTTATTGGGTCCTTATTTAGCCTGTCGTCAATTGACATATTTGAGGGATTTACGACTGATTTCAATTGCCTCTTCTTTCGGAGAGGCAGTTTCCTTTTAAATTGCTCGGGGGCGGGGTCGGCAATTCTACAGTTCCAGTTCATTACTGGGCCAAATTCCATTGTGCTAAACATCAGAATAAAATGATTAATATATATTCAAAATCTCCAATTACATTCGGATACTAAGGCTTATTATCAAAATTGAATGATGAAAGACATTTATAAAAGTGTAAAGTTTATATAGAAAAGGTGGAAAGTATAATCTTGTGGTTTCACACAAACCCACCATAAAAAAAACAAAAGAAGAAAGACGATCATGGTGTTTGTTAACCACAGGGAAAAAAATCATAATCAAGCATTTTAAAATACCGAGTTAAGCTCAGATAATAAACTTGTAGTAAAAGCAAAAATAGAAATTGGGCATTAATTAACCCCCTAATCTTAAAGGTATGTCCACCTTTGGTCATCCACAGGCTTATCACGGGTCCCATTTCATAGGTAAAAGGGACTAGAAACAACAGGGAGGGGGGTAAAAGCTATATAATATAGCATTAATGAAGGGAGAGTTTTGTGTATTGTTATTTGAAAAGATATATATGTTGTGGGTAGGTTTTTGAAAAATTGATGCCTTACCAAATGGAGGAGTGTGGAGAAATTATAAAGGGACATCTTTTTGTGGCGAAAAAAAAATTCCAGGGGTCGAAAAAACCATAAGTGATTTGACCTGGTGGACAAAATTTTGCTGTACTAGGGAGGCATCTTGTGCAAACTGTGATGCCTTGATGGCAATCGGTAAGGTAACTTGCCATACCGTGGGTCTGGGTATTTCCCCACTTTGCTTTTCAAACCATACTGTTGCATAAAGTACAGGGGGCATAATGGGAAAATGATCTGGTGTAATTTGGGACCTGGCAAATGGGGCATAAAAGTTGTCCATATTTTGAAAAATGAGCTAGAATTTGCTCATGGCTGTCTATGCAAATAAAACGTGGTGGATGGTCTGGCTGATTTTTATGTTGTTTCTTGAATTGGAATTTTTGTAAGTAACAAATCGGGCATTCAAGAGAGGGTATAATGGTTTTTTGAAAGTAGTGTAAAATTGGTTGGGGAAAATAAAGAAAGTTTTGGAAATAAAAATAACAAACATGGAAAATTTTACTCAAAAAAACTGGTAAGGTTATCTCAAGCATAATTGTTTGTGAATAAACTAATTCATAAGGCGGTTAGAGGTTAAAAATTGATGTTGATAACATGTTCGTTGCTGAGGAACGCATTTATGATTACATTATAAAATCTACTCCTGCTTTTGACAGCAATTTTTTCTCCATCGTGGAAGCCCGGACTGTATCGTTTGCAAAAAACATTCAATTGTTGTTGATCTGGATAAACGTAAATACGGTTCGTGCATGCTTGGTAACCGTCCACCTGAACGAGGAGATTGTACTCAAGGACAAAATCAATGTCCATTACCAAGCAGAACATTTTGTTAACTTCCTAAACAAACAGCACAATTGTTTAGTCATTTTTTATTGCCTGTACAAGTGTTACAATCATCAATTTTTTTTCGAAATTTAGGACGTGAACATCCTGTCGGCATATTGGGCATGAGAATTTGTCAGAAAACAATTTAGTTTTGGACTTCAGAGTCATATAGCATTCATTACAAATAAAATGAAAGGGTTGTGGATATCCTTTTCCGTGAAGTTTTCTAAATTGAATGGATGTTTTCAAATCCAGGCAAATAGGGCATTCGTTTGCCATTGTATTAAAGGAATTTATGCCCAAAACTCATCAAAAGCAATTTTGGAAAAACAGATGTTTTTGCTTTTATTAATGCAATTATTGCATACAGTAACATAGGGTATCATTAATTATCATATGTTGACTCTTTCGTTTATTTCTAGCGAACACTAATTGGTTGCAGATATTACAGACATCATATTCTGTCATCTTGATTATATGAATAATCAGCCTGCAAATGGGGCAAGGAATTTTTGCGAATGGTGTACTAGCTTTTCAATGACCAACCTGTGATGAAATGCGACTGCCATGTGTAGGTATTGCTGCTGCTGCCATTAGTGTAACTGCTGCCCCTACCCTCTACTGTGTCAAGCGAATTGGAACATGCACGTGGTCTACATACTGAAATGAAATTGGGTCTGAGTCTGCCTGCCGCATGTTTAACTATATTAGTGGCCACACCATTTACGTAGAAGCCCAACATAAAGTTAGTCACACTGTAGTAATAGACCAGAAGAAATTTGCCCACTTCGATCCTCTGCACATCGGGGTCTGTTTCCTTGTTGCGCTGAAACAAAAACGAAATTATAAAATGATTTTAATTGCCGCATAAATTTACGTTAAACTAAATTCAAAGCTTTATGATGCAATGCAAAAGTCTACAGATGGCCAATTACCGTCCTTTACGTTCACACAACGGTTTCGATCCCTTAATCTTTTTTCCCATTGCAAGACCACTACTCCAATTTTACCCCATTTTAATTCCGGTATTTTAAATAATTAATTACGATTTGATTCCATTATTACACCCTTGTAGGCTACAACATAAGTATCTTATTTTACGCCATCTAAAAAAGTTTCACTCAATTGCCACTTTTAGTAACATGTTATCACAAGCTAAATTAAGGCTAACATTGATATATTTTAAGCAGATATATCACCTGAAGTGCTTAGACGCCACAAGCATTTTTCTGTCACATTTAGTTCAGTCAAGTAAGAAAATTAGAAAATTTCTAACTTAATTTTCAAAAAAGGTCCCTACAAAAGGCGTTTAAGCCGAAACTTTTTAGGCCGAAGAAGAAGAAAAATAAGAAAACTTGAGTCGTGTATGGAATGAATAAGACCAATTAGCTCATTGCCTCAATTCAATTTGGAACGATTTTGTGGCGCGGGATAATTTGACAGGTGTAAAATATAAAACGACCATTTAGACAAACTCGTGGCAGGATACTTTAGTGGTGGTCACGCCCGGCTGGGTCCATGCATATCAAGGAATTGATCCCCCGATGGAGCAAAGAGTTTTGTGGGATTGGTTTGAATAAAAAAACCCACAGCTGATATATTCCTGGCGACGACTAAAGATTTGAATTTAAAAAAACCACCCAAGCATATATATTCCGCACTTTCTTCGAAAATCAGACCAATTACGGTCTGATTACAAATTCAATTCACAAAAAAGTTTTTTGATCTGAAAGCAATCGGTACATCATATATGTTTCAATCGTCTGCTTATTTAGCAGCAAGCATCATTGTCTCAATTTATGCTGCAAAAAATTACCAACTTTACTTTGATGCGTTACCTACATTATGACGTTTCCTTCTTTTTAATGAGCTGTTGGGAATTATTGTTACATCTTGCCGAAAAAAGCAATGACATGAATGCTCAAGGGTGTTTTTTTTCGGATCTTGTTAACTATTTATCCCCCCTTATTTCGATTTTCAGAAAATCAACTTTGGCTGCCCACATTTTGGTTATAAATGGTGACTTAAATGTCACGGAGTTAGAAAATACGGTGTCGGCCAATTTTCTTAAGACAGCGAACTCTTTTACAATCTTAAAAACAAAATTAGCATTCAGAAGTTGAAATAGTCAATGAACGCAAGCAAACAGAAAAATATATATATATTGACTTTTTTAATGTCTCGCTTAATTTATGGGTAACATTTTTCAGATTAAATTTACCCATATTGAGAAAACTGGATCAACCAGTAAGCTTTTTATTTCGCTAGGAAATCTGAAAATTAAATTATATTTTGAAACTAGGAGTTGGTCACACGTTTTTGTGACCTTTACAATTTTGCTGTTCGATAGTGGAGTTTGCCTTCCTTTTAACCAAGAAAGTGAACTGAACTTAAAAAGAAATCAAAATTCGAACCGCAAAAAAAGTAAATTTCAGCCTGGAAAAATTAAGACTTTTCCAGAAGAAAAAACAACTGAAAGAAAAAAACTACAAAAAAACAGCTGAAAAAAAACTACGAAAAAAAAACGGTAATATATTATGTAACATACATGAACTTTACCATTCACCTTCGTAGGTAAAGACATTGATCTTTGATAAGAGGCGTGATGTTGATATTTATAAATAGTGTGATGTAAAGTAAAGTTCATGGTATGTTAGATGCTAATCTTGTCAATACTGATTGAGAACACAAAATTATATTCAGCCACCAAAACCAGGCGAATCAACTTTGAATTAAAGTTTGCAATCTCCGTTTTCAATAACATCAGGGGACGTCGGACGGACTAACAACACGCATCCGAAAAATAAATTCAATTGTTTAAGAGCTCAAATAAAGTGCAATATCATTGATCATTGTCAAAAATAACATTAGCGCTCCCAAAACGTTGTCTCCAAAAAAAATTGTCAACATGAGCAGGTAACCAGAGATCAATAACACCGTTCATAGCTTTCAAGTTTTTCTTGACTTGTCCTCACATTGCTTCGATAATATTTGTATGCACGCCGGTGATCGGAACCTTAAAATTTTTGCTGTGATCAACAGATTCGTGACAAAAAACTACTGATCTTGGTCTACATAAAGGAAAGTAAGATGAGCAACCATCTGACAAACTTTTATTACAGGCAAAATTCTTCGGTAGATTACCTCTCACAGAGTTTCAACCCCGCTGTCCTCAACAAATTCCAAAAAACCGGGCTTTTTTCCGCCGAAAATCCCTTTCTCTTTTATTCGCCGAAAATCCCTTTCTCTTTGATCTCCGCCGAAAATCCCTTTCTCTTTGATCATTCGACCACGGTTGTATTTTCTCTTGGCTACCACAGACTCGTCTAGATGAATAATTTTTCCAGGTCCTCCAAATCTGTAATCACAAATTTCTGAATTTTGAAGGACCCAAGAACAAGTTTTTTTGAAATAAAGCAAAAAAAATCTACTGACGTTTTTGAACTAACTCCAAGTAGTGTGGCAACTTGGCAGACTGCCATTTTTACGGCAAAGAAAAAGCAAAGTTGCAATAAGTCGAACAGATAATTTCGAACTAAAAAAATGATTTTTTCTTCAAGGATAAAAGTTTCCGACAACGGTTGTTAGTGCATCGCCAAGCATACTTATCTATAATTTTCTTGCTCTCACAACTAATTCGTGAGCGACACATTGGACGGGGACAATGTCGGGGCCTTTTCAGTAATTGTTTTGCGAAAAGCAAACACTATTGCCCAATATCAATTTTAGGTTGATTTTTGAAGTCGAAAAATAGCATGGCTAACAAATTTTATTGAATTATTTATTCTCTGTTGTGAGATCAAGTCTTAAGTTATCACCGCTAAACACCCAGACCGGTTGGTTTAGTGGTTAACGCATTTGACTGAAGGCCCATGGACTAGAATTCGAATCCCAATTGGAGCCAGATGTTTTTCTCTATGCAGTTGAATCTGTTGCATCTACCGCCTATTGTAATATATCACCAAAAAAACTACTGAAAAAAACTACGCGAAAAAACTACTGAAAAAAAAAACTACGAAAAACTACGTTCATTGACTCCTTAAAAAGCTGAACTTTTGAGAACCAATATGGCACAAGTGTGCTGCTGGTTAAAAGATTCACAATTACAGTACAGACGAAGCTTAAAAAATCGAAGGCGTTAAAGACACCAAAATTACTTGCTTACACAAATCGGTTTGCAGCCGTTCCTAGTGGACACATCACGAGGCATCTGTGTGCGTATCTGAATGACCACAAGAGGCAGCATACACACAACAAATAGGGCAGGATAGAGCATTCCTATTGTCCAGTAGGGCACCGTCGACTCCTTTCATCAATTGCAGCGTTGTCATATTGTCTTTTTTTCAAATGTTTTTTAATTTAAAAAAACCAACTATCCTTCGGTCACAAAACTTACTGTTCATTGCACAACATTTCGATCAAAACAATCTATTTTAATGACCTACTTGAAAATATCATCCGATTGGGGGGTTCCATTAGTATTTATTTTAAAAAGATTCACAGATTTCGGATAGTGAACATTTTTTTGAAAAGTTGCATGTAAATTTTCCCAGACTTTTTTTGATTTTTCATTTTCGGCTATTCATTAGCAAACGATTTTGTCACAATTAGGTAACGTTAGTCTATAGCAACTCTACTTCGAACCTAATTATCTCATTCCCTAATTGTAAGTAGACAACCCTGCCTTATAAGGATACTGTATGCTAGTATCATCACAGAAAAATCCTCTTTTGTACACTGGCAACAGATCTGCACTTTGGGCTGTGAAATATTCAGACAAGAGGAGTCCAACTAGCATCAAACAGTTCGCGACTTCCACAAAAACTGAACTTCTGTTGCACATTTTGGCAGCTTGCGCCGACATCACTGAGACAATTAACTTGGTTTCTAAGGCCAACTACAAATACTATCTGCAATAAAAACATCTCAATATAACCTTAAATGAGAAGAGAATTGATCAAAAATTTTAGAAGATTCATTTTTGATTTGCAGTTTTTTCAAGTTTCTGCGAATCATCTGATCTACAATAATCACAGAGGCTCTTCATGTAGCCAGTCTACGGATAGTCAGATTTTTAACTAACTTTATCGAATATTCGCTGGGGATGCTCACCGATCTTGAACAAACTAAATTCATGAAGAAATACATTGTAGATCTCTTAGTTTTAGTGGCTATAAGATCTGTTTAATGAGGCCGTATCCCACTAATTTAGAATCTCTTATGTCTCAAGAGCTACTCCGGTTAATTTAGACAATGGGGCTTTTCTGCACTTGCGTAAAACTTTCGATTGGAAGAATTCCCATAATCAAAATCGAACGATATCACTATGATTACTATAGAAGGCAAAAACGAAATAACTAGACATTTCGAAGATGCTGGTCATTTCACAAAAATTCTTCTATAGGAGCCGAACGTTCTTCTCTGATTGTAGATATGAAATCAACTAGCGTGTAACGCACCTCCTGTGCTTCGAACTTTTGACGATTTGTAAAAAACAGCACAAATTGGAAATAAGATCTGCATTCTTTGAATGTACTCTGACAGCACCCAATTACAGGGTTGGTAAATATAAAATGTGGAAACTTCAAGTTTTCTAGTATATATATTACACGGATAAAAGCAGTAAGTCGATCAATGTATTTATTTACATGATCTACTCTCTGCGATGTTTAGCAGGTTATTAAGAGTATACGACAAAGCATACTTCAGGCATTAGTGAAATGAGTAAAATAATTCTGAAAAACTCTGTTTATGAGATAGTACCTTAACTAACTTATTGTTCCGACTTTCGATACGAAAGTAATGGAATAATTGTGCTCGGGGTGGGTTTTTTTTTTCTTCAGACAAATTTCGACTTTTTAACTAGCCGTTTTTGACGAATTTTTTTTATCATTCGAAAGCTATTGTTGTCCTGAGCCTACATTTGAAAAGATATTTTACCTGTGATCATTTTTCGTAAAGTTATGAGGGTTTAAAGATTGCCATTTTGGCCATTTTGACCAATTTGGGACAATTAACGCGCGATATAATTCGCGCTATTAACGCGTAAGCGTAGATATAATCCGTCTTAGAAATTGTTCCAAATTGGTTGAACGAAGCTTATTTGCCATAATTGATTTGTTACAAGGAACGAAATTTACCTTTTTGTACTTTATTTGGCGTGTGGGGGGATTATTTTCATAAAAAATTTCAAATTTTAGAAAAAAATTTTCATTTTATTTTATTTCATTTAATTTTTTTATTTTTTTTATGTATTACTGCTGCTCAATAAACCTTAAAAGGCAGTCGGAACATCCAGGGCTTCGCCCGGATACGAGCACTCTTGTTTGAATAATCTTTCTTTTCATAGAGGACTTTTTTAAACTGCTTGAAATTTGCCTAAATATTACCGTTACATAAAAGTGAAAGCTAATTAGATATGAACAAAAATCTTCCTGTTTCTTTCGCGATTATCGTTATTTTGCAACACTTAATTGACTCTACAACCGTCAACTTGGTTTTCGTCCCAGGTTTCCTGCTGTTGATGCTTTAGCAGAAATGACAAAGAGTTCGAAAATAAGAGTCTCATCAAGTGTAGTTTTTTCATTGATTTCAACAAAACTTTTTATAATCTTGATTACAAGTTCTAGCTTGAAAACTAGAATTTTCTGGAATCAGAGGCCTTGCTTTTAAATTGTTTGAAAACAATATTTCGAATAGTTTCCAGTGATTATTAATGAAATTCCTCCAAATGGTTGCCAGTGGTGTGTGGAGTGCCACAAGGTTCAGTTCCGGGCCATCAGTTTCTGAATCATCAGATGATTTATTTTCGCATTTCCTTTTGGTGGTTTGTGCATTTACGAAAACGATATATCTAATATCATTACTCGGGTTGAGTAAGATAGGTTAACGCTAAACGGCAATGGAAAAAGCATACTTGCCTTCAAAAAAAATCAAAACTTCTATTATTGAGTTATTAATTAAAACATATTCTCAGATACCTACGCATTCATCTGATTAGTTGGTGTCATAATTGACAACAGATTTTCAACTCAAGATCATTTTTTCAAAGTCAGAATTAAATTAGGTCGACATTAATGTATTTTATCAACAATTCGACTTTTTGCTCCTCGAAATGTTTTATTGAAGTACCATATTTATAAATTCAAACCAATCAATCAATATGGCTCGCTAATATTTGGTTGTAACATAAATTCGGCCTTGAAACCCATTCGTTTATTGCAAAAAAAATTCGTCCAAACTTACTTTGTACAAATTTGAATACGACAGTAATTCTAACTTTTTTTAATTTGCGGATTACTAAAAGTACACGGGCTGTGTGTGCCTATGACCCTGAACTATGTATTTGCTCTGTTAACAAAATGCAATCAACTTTTCGCTTTAATTCTTTGTTTAACAAAAACATAAATCAATGTACAAAACAGAAAAACTTAAGTTCTTTCTTTTTAGGAACCTTTTCGCAGAAAAAAATGAGGACACACTCGTTTAAAAGTAGGGGCCTAAGCTTCCGAATTTTCTGACTGACAATGGAGATTTACTAAAAAAAACTTTTTTAAAAAACATGAAATTGCTTGTTTTGTGCTTAATTAAAAAAATTGAAGGTTAAAAAAGTGTCTTGTACAAAGGGGCGAACCGGAGCTTCGCACCACTTGCGATACAACACAAACATTAAAACTTATATAAAAATCCGGAAAAATGAAAATTATTGAAACAAAACTAGGTCATATGAACTTTCATAAGTCTCGAGAGAAGTTCATTCCAGGCAAACATGCCAGAGATTTGAATTTAAAGCAGCAACAGCGTAAAGAAAATTTGCGCAAAAACATGAAGCCAAAAATCTTTGAGCATACACAAGTTGAGCCAAAAAAATATGATTTCATAAAAACAAATTTTAAGTCCCACCTCAAACAACAATTGACAACACTTGCACTTGCAACTACAATGAAAGTTGTTTAAAGTAGAAGAAAAAACAGTGATGTGGCAACTAAGCCAACTATCTTTGAGCTGAAACCACTTGAACCGAAAAAAAAAGATTTTACGAATTTTTTTAAAAATCGTTCAATTCCCCCTTCAAACTAGAATGAACAGCACTTGCACTTGCATCTACAACGAAAGTTGCTTACAGCAAAAAAAATCAGTAATGCTGCAACAGCTGAATCTTTGAGCTGACACCAACTGAACCGAAATAAAAAATCTTATGCATTTTTAAAAATCTTTCAAGTCCCCCCTAAAATTAGAATGAACAACACTTCCACTTGCAACTGCAATGAAACTTATCTAACAAACGAAAAACCAACCATTCATTAGTCTCGGATTTTTTATTTTCAATTTACTTGATAGAGAAAAAAAACAAGATCCGGGCACGACTCGAACCCCCGACCTTAGAGCACAAAGGCAACTAATTTATCTCCAGGCCAATCGGGAAGCAACCTGTAAGATGGTAAGAGGAGAGAAGTTCAAAGAAGTCAGCTGTATAGACAGCAAGTGATTCAACTGATTTTGTTAAACTAGTTTTTAACTAGAAAAAAGTCTATATTCCAGTTTGAAAACGCTTGCTAATCGCAAACGTAAAAACACTTAATAACTAGAATTGTAAATCAAATAATGACCATGTCCTGGATATCTTTTCATCCATTCTTGATTTTGGCTTTCAGATGACTTTGTAATTGAAACCCATCTTGAACTTCCGTGAGTTTCAGGGCTAAAACTAGCGAACTTCAGGACCAAACTGACTTTTAACTACGCATATATTGAAAATAGAACCTACTGCGGTATATTATGCAATTATGCCATAAGCATAGTCACTAACGGCTACCCACTGCTAAAGGAGGTCATGGGGGACCGTTTTTTAAAACATTTCTAAAAACAATCATTTGAATTTTTTGATGTGTTTGATGTGTGTATGGAAGTATGTGATTTAAATGGAATTCCGTTTATTCTTTATTTATGAAGTAGACTATCTGCACTACTAACAGTAGGTTAGGCGTCTAGTGGGCACATAGTGTGCCCTTTGTCTGTCCTTTCCAATAACTTTCAACCTTTTCAATGAATTATATTGCATATTTTGAAACTTTATTGCATATTTTGTTAGCACTGTTAGAGAACTATATTATTTGTTTGTTCCTATGACCCAAGCAAAAATCTCACTAACATCACATGGTGGCCTAGTTACAAATGATCGTACTATTTGATTTTAAGACCATTCTCTCCAAAGAAAGTTGTTTTGTCACATTTAGCGACAGTAAAGGTCAGGAGTCAATCCACTGGATACGCAATAATCAAACGGTGACCAAATCAATAACATACATTTTGCGAGCGTCTTTTGCGCCAGGTTGAGTCCTCAACAGATAGAGGAATCTGTTTAAGGTAACCTTCGAGCAGAGGAGTCACAGCGAAAGAGTTAGCACAGTTAGGGCCTAATTGTTTATTACATTAGTGATTTTGAGCAACTTACCTGGTCCAAAGCCGTTGGACTTGAGATTAAATAGCAATCCCAGTGCAGCTAGAGTTGCTTCTGAAAAACGACAACGAATATCTTTAATGAAAAAAATCTGCAACAAACTCAAGTTCGTAGCATCGAAAACTCAGATGCCTGGATGAATGGCTGGCTGGTTGGATGAATCGATAGGTGGATGGATGAATCAATAGGTGGATGGATGAATCGATGGCGGGATGGATCGAATGAAAGCTTAATCCATGGATAACTGGTTGGATGGATTGGTGGACGACTAGACTGGACGGATCGATGAATGGCTGGTTGAATGGATCCACTGGATGGCTCGCTGGAGGAATGATTGGAAGGCTGGCTACCTGGATGGTTGGCTGAATGCTCGGATGAATAGCCGGATTAACGAATGATTGACCGGATGGATGGATCGACGAATAGACGGGTGGATGGCTGAAGGA